TTATAGAATAGATCTCTTAAGCTAATTCTGTCTATCTAACTGAAAATTTTTATCTTTTGACCAAAAACACCCCAACCATATTCCTCAGCTCTGGTAACTACCATTCTATTCTCTGTTTCTATGAAGTCAACATTTTTAGACTCTACATATGAGATCACGCATATTCTTTCCGTATCTGCCTTATTTCACTTAATATAATGTCCCCATGATGTACCCATGTTGCTGCAAATGGCAGGATTTCCTTCTTTTGTAAGGCTGTATAGTATTCCATTCTGTATACATACTATATTTTCTTTATGCATTCACCAGTTGACAGACACTTAGGTCAAATCAATATCTTGGCTATTGTGGAAAATGTTGCAATGAACATGGGAGTGCAGATATCTCATTGACATACTGATTTCATTTCCTCTGGAAATATACCCAGTAGTGCGATTGCTGAAACATATAATACTTCTATTTTCAATTTTGCAGGGAACCTCCATACTGTTTTCCACAATGGCTATAAATAATTTACATTTCCAACACTGTATAAGTGGTCCCTTTTCTCCACATCCTCTCAAATTAATGAAATTATGTTGGTAAGTATTACCATTTGTCTTTTTGATAATAGTCATCCTAACAGGTGACAAGTGATATATCATTGTAGTTTTAGTTTGTATTTTTCTGATGAGTAACGATGTTGAATACTTTTTCATATACCTCTTGGTCACTTGCATGACTTCTCTTGAGAAATGTCTATTCAAATGCTTTGTCCATTTTCTCATTGGGTTGTTTTCTTGCTACTGAATTGTTTTAGCTCTTTATATATTCTGGAAATGCATCCCTTGTCTGCTGTATCATTTGGAAATACATTCTGCCATTCTTTTTTTTTTTTTTTTTGAGACAGAGTCTCATTCTGTCATCTAGGCTAGAGTGAAGTGGCACAATCTTGGCTCACTGCAACCTCTGCCTCCCAGGTTCATGTGATTCTCCTGCCTCAGCCTCCTGAGTAGCTGTGATTATAGGAGCATGCCACTATGCCTGGCTAACTTTTGTATTTGTAGTAGAGATTGGGTTTCTCCATGTTGGCCAGGCTGGTTTCAAACTCTTGACCTCAAGTGATTCCCCTACCTCTGCCTCCCAAAGTACTGGGATTACAGGCATGAGCCACCACACCCTGCCTATTCTGCCACTTTATAGGTTATCTTTCAATTGCTGATTGTTTCCTTTGCTGTGCAAAAGCTTTTCTGTTTGATATAAGTAATCTCATTTGTCTTTTTTAACATTTGTTGCTTGTGCTTTTGGGGTCATAGCTTAAAAAAAACCTCATTGCCCAGGCCAATGCTATGGAGCTTTTCGCCTATGTTATTTTGTAGTAGTTTTAGTTTCAGGTCTTATGTTTAAGTCTTTAATCCATTTTATGTTTTTATCTATGGTGTGAGGTGAGGAACAAATTTCATTCTTGTAAATGTGGACATACAGTTTTCCCAGCACTGCTTTTTTCAGAGACTATCCTTTCCCCTTTCGTGTGTTCTTGGCATCTTTGTCAAAAATTAATTGACTATACATGAGTAAAATTATATCAGAACTATTTTGTTCCACTGGTCTGTGTGTATGTTTTTATGCCAGAATCATGCTATTTCGATTATTATGACTTGCAGTAGATTTTGAAGTCAGGTAGACTGATGCCTCCAGTTTTGTTCTTTCTGCTCAAGATTGCTTCTGCTATTTGAAGTCTTTAGTGGTTCCATATGAATCTTACTATTATTTACTCCATTTCTGTGAAAAATGTCATTAGAATTCAGATAGGAATTGCATTGAATATGTAGATCACTTTGGATAATATGGAAATTCTAACAATATTAATTCTTCAATACACAAACTAGAATATATTTTTCTTTATGTCTTCAATTTTTTCTTTGACGTTTTATAGTTTTCAACAAGTCTTCTAAATATTTCAATAAGCACTTCTATACTTTCATCTTTACATTAATTATATAATAATCTTTAAAGTGTCCTTGAATTTCTGTTTTGCTTGAAGTCTTTTTCATTAAAAGTCTTTAGTTTTTAGTGTTTTAGGTTTAAAGAAAAGTTAAGCAGAAAGTACACTGCATCTGTATATACCACCACACTCCATGCTTTTACTCCTATTTAAAATTGGTGTGGTACAATTTTTACAATTAATGAAATGATGTTGGTATTTTATTATCAACTAAAGTCCATAGTTTACATTAGGGTGTAATCATTGTGATACACAGTTCTATGGGTATTTTTTTTTTTTTTTTTTTGAGACGGAGTTTCGCTCTTGTTACCCAGGCTGGAGTGCAATGGCGCGATCTCGGCTCACCGCAACCTCCGCCTCCCGGGTTCAGGCAATTCTCCTGCCTCAGCTTCCCGAGTAGCCGGGACTACAGGCAGGCGCCACCATTTCCAGCTAATTTTTTTTGTATTTTTTTAGTAGAGGCGGGGTTTCACCATGTTGCCCAGGATGGTCTCGATCTCTTGACCTCGTGATCCACCCGCCTCGGCCTCCCACAGTGCTGGGATTACAGGCTTGAGCCACCGCGCCCGGCCTCTATGGGTATTTAAAAATCCATAATGTCACTAATTCATCATTACAGTATCATTTAGATAGTTTCACTGCCCTAAAAATCTACTGAATTCCACCTATTCATCCATCCAGGATTTTCTCTACTGACTTTCTCTACTGGTTTTCATTTTCATTGATTTCTGCTCTCATTTTTATTATTGTTATTATTATTACATACTTTGCATTTAAATTGTTCTTTACCTAGTTTCCTATGGTGTAAGTATAGATTATTAAATTTGGATCTTTCTTCTTTTTAATATATGCTATTAATGGTACAAATTTGCCTCTGAGTAATGCTTTCACTGCCTCTCACAAATTATAATAAGTTGTATTTTAATTCTCATTTATTTTGAAATACTATTTCTCATGAGACTTTTTCTTTGACCACGTTTTATTTTTAAATATGTTGCTTAATCTCCAAATAATTTGCCATTTTCTATCTTTCTGTTACTCATTTCTAGTTTAATTTCATATCGTCTGAAAGCAATGTTAATATTATTTCTACTTCAAGGATGTTCTATTGTCTAGAACGTGGTGTGTCTTGGTAAATATTTTGCATAAGTTGTTGTTGGACAAAACATTCAATAAATGTCCATTAGATTCACTTGATTGATGGTGTCACTCATTTCAACCATATATACTGATTTTTCTGCCTCCTGAATTTGTCAGTTACAGTAAAAGTACTCAAGAAATTTTAATGAGAATAGGTGTTAACATATAAAATAACTTTTTAGTATCTTTCAAAATATTCATATTTTTCCTCCTTTTATCTTCTAATCATTCATGCATTCCTAACCTTACTTCAATCCCTCATTTATTTGTATGTACTTTTAGATTTTGCTCTGGATTGTTTGGTTATTCATGTTCTTTTTTGGTTCCCTATGAATTTTATGATTGTGTTTTCTATTTCTGTGAAAGAGGACACTGATACTTTGATAGGGAATGTACTGAATCTATAGATTGCTTGTGAAAGTATGGTCATTTTCATGATATTAATTCTTCTGATCTATGAGTATGGTATTTCCATTTATTTGTTTCCTCATCCATTTCTTTCATCAGTTTTGTAGTTTTAATTGTAGACATTTTTCACCTCCTTGGTTAAACTTACTCCTGGGTATTTCGATGTTTTGAAGCTATTGTAAATGAAAACTGCCTTCCTGATTTCTTTTCTACTGTTTCATTATTGGAGAATAAAAAGGCTACTGATTTTTCTGTGTTGATTTTATATTATGCAAATTTACTGAATTTGTTTATCAGCTCTAAGAGTTTTTTGATGAAGCCTTCTGGTTTTTCTAAATGAAAGATCATATCATCAGCAAAGAAGGATAATTTGACTTCCTGTTTTCCAATTTGGATGCCATTTATTTCTTTCTCTTCTCTGACTGTCCTAGCTCAGACTTCCAATACTATGTTGAATAGGAGTTGTGAGAATGAGCATAATTGTCTTGGGGAATGGTTCCAGCTTTTATCCCTTCTTAAAAAAAGGCAGTCAGCCTCTCCCCATTCAAGATACTGTTAGCTATGGGTCTTCTATATATGGACTTTATTATTGTGAGGTATGTTTCTTCTATACTTGGCTTTTGGGAGTTTTAATTGTGAAGGGATGTTAAATTTTATCAAATGTTTTTCTGCATCTATTAAGATAATCATATTGTTTTTTGCCCTTCATTCTGTTGATGTGAAGCTCCACATTTACTTATTTGGATATATTAAACCATCCTTGCACCCTTGGTCTAAATCCCACTTGATCATGGTATATTATCTTTTAATTGAATTCAGTTCGCTATTATCTTGCTGACAATTTTTGCATCTATTTTCATCAGGGATATTGGTTTGTAGTTTTCTTTTGTTGTTGTTCCTTGTCTGGTTTTGGTATCAGGGTAATGTTGACCTTACAGAATAAGTTAGGGAAAAGTCTCTCTCCTAACTTTTTTTTTAAAGATAAACACAATTTTTAATGTTTTAGCCAACATATGATATTAGCTAATACCTCGTGGTACAACATCCATTTAGGACAAGGTAAATCATTGACAATCATGGATATAAACCTAAGTTTCCACTTGATAAAATAGTTTTAATTTTTGGGGGGCTTACTTCCTACTAGATATCACTATATAGTTGCTGTTTTGTAGACGGTGATGCAGTTGATAAAAACTACATTAAAAAAAAGAACTGTCACCTCAGTAATTTTCCTGCTATTGCCCTGTGTTTACGTTCTTTTATTCCATAGTTTCTTTGATGGAATTTTTTTAAATACTTTAAGTTCTGGGGTACATGTGCAGAGCGTGCTGGTTTGTTACATAGGTATACATGTGCCATGATGGTTGGCTGCATCTATCACCCTGTCATCTACATTAGGTATTTCTCCTAATGCTATCCCTCCTCTAGCCCCCCACCCCCCGACAGGCCCTGGTGTGTGACGTTCCCTTCCCTGTGTCCATGTGTTCAAATCATTCACCTCCCACTTATGAGTGAAAACATGCAGTGTTTGGTTTTCTGTTCTTGCGTTAGTTTACTGAGAATGATAGTTTCTTTTGCTGTGTAGAAGCTCAGTCCCAACTGATGCACATTAATGTTGGTGTTAGTTGTGTTTAGCCAAGTGGGCTAGTCTCCAGACCCATAGGTGGTGCATACAGGTAGGTGCCAGCTGTGGTAATAGCATTCAGGTGGGTAGGCCCAACCTCAGGCACCTGGGGGAGTGTTAAGGTGCCAACTGTGGTGGACTGGGCTAGGTGATCCCCTTGCTCCCTGATTGTGTGCTCTGGCATAAGGGTTCGGGGTGGCAGGGTAAAGCTGAGCTAAGCTTGTCCTCAAGCCTCTTGATAAGTGCAGGCACGGTTGCGGTAGTTAGGGGTGAGGCCATCCCTAGAAGAGTGAAATTCTCTAGTGATAGGTGGCAGCAGCTGTGCTGCTTCCCTGCCACTGGGGAGGGCAGTGCCACCTTCAGTATTGGGCAGCCTAGGTCAGCAGGTGGAAAACATACACATCGTTTTCACCACAGCCCAAGTGGCACTCTTTCCTCAGCCCCTCTGCAGTAGCTGACACCTTACTCATGCCTCAGTTGCAATGGCAGCAGCCTGCATTGTGATAGCATCTCAGCCCCTGGTGTGAGTGGCCCCTCGTCACTGGCGCCTAAGCTGGGAGGCAGCAAGCGTGCTTCTCCTGCACCTCAGCCCCAGTGCCAGTGGTCTACAGAATAATGTGCTGTTGGAAGCAGGGTTCTAAAATTGCTCCTTGATATAGTTGCTTAGGTCTCATGGAACATGTGTGACTCAGTGTGAGCTCTTTCCCTGGACCAGTGTCATCACACAATCTCCCAGCATCTTCCTATGTGAGTTTCAGGGTAAGTGAGGCTCAAGAGACTCTCCTGTGACCAGGATTTCAGGAGTCCATAGTGGAAACAGACGCCACTGACAGTTTCTCACTAACCTTTTCCTCATATTAAGGAGCCTCCCTCAGCTCCCAGCTGATCCTACTGAGCAGACTACTCGCTTCCTTCCCCTTCCTTTTTAGGCATTTACTGTCACTTTTCTGTTGAATTCCAGCGTTCTCTCTCAGATGATCTATTTGAAGTGTGATCATCTACTCATTATCTTGGTTCTTCCTAGTGGAGGAGGCGAGTATGAAATACCTCTAGTTAGCTATCTTTAAGCTTTCCTCTTCCATATCTTTTCCTTATCATGTCATATCTATTTCCCTACAGACCCTCAAATTTATTAGCACAGTTACATAAAGACTTTTAGGAAATCAATTTCCTCTCATCCTAAACTGTAATTGTGATTGATGTTGTTATTTCTTCCTTCTTTCCTCTCCTTTACTTTCTTACTTTCATCTTTTCTTTTCTTCTTTTTTTAGTTCTTTCCTTCCTTTCAATGAGGCACATTAGAATGTTTATTTTTTAAAATGCAACACTGTTTCATTTGAAATCTTTCAAATAATTTAGACTAAAGTCCAAATTATCTATTAATATAAAAAAAGTGCTTCTCAGGTTGGCATTTATCTATTTCTGTATCTCACTGCCATCCTAATTCTATGCTGAATACTGGCTTTATTTTACCATTTCATCTTTGCACATGAAGTTAAAATATCCCTCACTCCCTCTATATCCATTCTCTGCCTGGAAATATCCTGCTGGTTCCAAGATCTATTCCAACTTATACATGTCTGGGAAGTCTTCTTTGGAGGTTCTGAAGCTGGGACCTCATTCTCTTTGGAATTCTCCTCTTTTGAACCTGTCCATGTTGAAGTCCCCTGGATCTCAATCCTCATACCTTTCCTCTATCTACACTCAAATCCTAGAAGAAAGTCGCACCAAATATCATCTTTACACTGTTGAACTCTAAATTTTTATCTTCAGCTATGATATTGTCCTGCCAATTTAATACCTCTATATAGCTATCTATTAAATATCTCAAGCTTAATGTATCAAAAATGGAAGTCTAAATTTTATTTCTGCTCTCCCAATGTATTGTTCTCTAAGTTTTCCTCATATCAGTAAACAGTATTCATCCAGTTTGCTCAGTTCAAAAGTTTTGAAACTATCCTTGACTCCTCTCTTTTTCTTAATACACACATGCAATCTAGTAGTAAGACCTGACATCTATACCTTCAAAAGTATTTCTTACCACTTCTACCTCTACCACTAGTCCAAGTGACCATTATCTCTTGCCTGGAATACTGCAACTACCTCCTAATTAGACTTCTTTCTTTTCCTTTTATTAAATTACAGTATATTTATTTCTAAATAAAAATCAGTATCACATTAAATGATAATTCAAATCATTACCCCCCACAACTTAATCTTCTAATGACTTTGCATCTCATTTCAGAATACAATGTACAGTATCGAAATCATCTAACTCCTGAATACTTGATCTCTTATCATCTGTACCACTAGTGATAGATACACCAATGCAAGATTGACCCCCTTGCTATTTCTTGAACACACCCATATCTACCACTGTGTTGTTCCCTTTCACAGGAATGCATATCCATCAGAAATCCAAATGATTTAATTTCTTACTTCCTTCAGGTCATTTATTATTTTTCCTAGTTCTTATCACTATTTACCATTATATTAGATTTCTGTTTGTTTATCATCTACTAATTCATTAAAATATATCTGTAAAGTCAGGAGACTAATTTTTTTTGTTCATGCCTGAAACTTTCGCTAATTTGTAGTAGATACTGTAGTAAAACTTGTTAAATAAATGAGGGGTTGAATAAATCTAATGTATTATTCCAGTATAGTATCTGTCTTACCCGTAGATCATAAACTTTAAGTCGAGGGACAAAGTGCTTATTCTGTCTCTCCCCAAGAATCTACCAGATGGTCACACAGTAGTACGAAAGCAATATTTATAATGGAGTAAATTAATAAACACTTTCATTCTCTTTTGTAAGAGAGTGAGGCAAATCTCATGAATAAGAAAAGCTAAGGATGACAGCTTGATTATGTCACACACGGCAGAAATAAGAGGGAACTCTGCAAGAAAATACCTTAAAGACCTTCAGACTCTTTCAACCCCTTTTCCAGCATAAAGGTTTCCATCTGCAAGGGAAAGTTTTCTGGAAACAGTAGCTTAGGAAAATACACAACATGTAGCTGTTATAATTGCCATGTTTATATTAAGTTCTGGGTTAGCTAGTCTGAAACAGCCCTGGTAAAAATAAATTTTCAGTGTGTTTTATGCAATCAGTCTTTCCAATAAGCACTGTCAACATGACCTTTAGTGGTCTCCAGAACTTCTCCTTGACTAAGTATTTAACTGGCTGTTCAGCCCTATGGCTTCCTGGCTGCCTTTAATTTTCCTTCGGCATTTTTTCATGCTAGAGCAACAACAAAATACACAAGCCATCCTTTGAGAGAATTTCTGAATGTAATTTGAAAAACCATTGACATAAAAAAAACTGAGACGGGTTGAGAGAAAGAGTATCAGCAGATACCACATATTCTTCATTTGAAAGATAAGTATAAAGAAACCTCACATTCCAGTTCCCTAACTCCCTATTATCTACTTAACACTGAACTATTAATTTTTACATTTTCTTTCCTAGAGAAAATTTGGCTTTCACAGAGGAGCAAATATAAAAATATTTTTTGATAAATTTATTGCCCAAACTCCATAATAATGCTAGTATTTAAGAGTAATTATAATTCCCATGAAACTGCCTAAGGTCATTCTGAAGCTCTTAAAGCTCTTGTATTTCATACTCATTCTCAGGGCTTTTTTATTAAATAATTCTTTTCCTCACTAAAAGCACAACCATATTAATATCACTAGACATCCTTGAAAACTTTGGAAGTCACGATATGAACATAACATGATGTGTAATGAATTTTTTTTGTTGTACTTTAGGTTCTGGGGTACATGTGCAGATCATGCAGGATTGTTGCATAGGTACACACCTGGCAATGTGGTTTGCTGCCTCCATCCCCTCGTCAGCTGTATCTGGCATTTCTCCCCATATTATCCCTCCCTGACCTCCCCACCCCTCCACTAAACCTCCCCTGGCCCCCCTCAACAGACCCCAGTGTGTGATGCTACCCTCCCTGTGTCCACGTGTTCTCATTGTTCAATACCCGCCTCTGAATGAGAACATGCAGTGTTTGATTTTCTCTTCTTGTGTCAGTTTGCTGAGTTATGGTTTCCAGATTCATCCATGTCCCTACAAAGGACACAAACTCATCATTTTTTATGGCTGCATAGTATTCCATGGTGTATATGTGCCACATTTTCCTTGTCCAATCTATCATCAATGGGCATTTGGGTTGGTTCCAGGTCTTTGCTATTGTAATTTTCTTACTATTTTTAAAAAAATAATTTATAGCCACTTGATGAATGTGTAACTTAATCAAGCAGCTGACCTAATCACATAGATTCATAAATATTTTGATTCAACACTGCATTTTTTCAAACAATAGAAAAATAGTAAGTCATACCAACAATTTTTATCTGCCACAAAGTGTAATAGCAGTATAAATCAAATTTGATTTCTTCTCGTGTGCCTACTGTCAAAATAATGTACCAAAAATAGAGAAATGGGATAAGCTGATGGAATAAAGCAGACAACAGGTAACATAAATCATAGTTTCAACTCTACAACTGTACATTTAATTAATATCAATTTCTAGATTTCCAAAGGGTAACAGAGAATATGTTTTAAAACTAAAACAATCAAATAACAACAATATAAACAAAAATTCAAACCATGTAAGTAGCCTATACGTTAGATCTACATTTTTAATGTTTGAGATGTTGTCCTATTACTTTTACTGCTTAATACCTATTTAAAGCTCACATAATATGAAAGAGTTTATTAAAGCTGCTCTGAGCTAGAGCATTTACCCTCCAGAAACTCATCTACCATCAATACTTCTTTTGTTCTACATGATTGTCATTTCTTCCCATTTGATCAAGCTCTGGATCAAAACTAGTGCTATGGATATGTGAAATTATAAAATTACTAACTAGAAAAGCAGGGAAAGAAATTCCTCATTAAAAAGATTAAAAAATTGGTCACAGGGGCATGTGTGGTGGCTCATGCCTGTAATCCCAGCACTTTGCAAAGCCAAGGTAGGTGGATTCCTTGAACCCAGGAATTCAAGACCAGCCTAGGCAACATGGTGAAACCCCGTCTTTACTAAAAATACTAAAAATTAGCCAGGCATGGTGATACACGCCGGTAATCCCAACTACTTGGGAGGATGAAGCATGAGAATTGCTTGAACCCAGGAGGCAGACGTTGTGGTGAGCCAAGATTGCACCACTGTACTTCATCCTGGGTAACAGAGCAAGATTGGTTTTAAAAATAAAATTTGGTCACAGGATACAGTGAGCGGGGAACAGCTTAGTAGAAAATCTGACTGTGATGGGGCTCAACTTAGGAAATGGTGATTTACATGTACAAAATATAAGGAAGGGTTTAGAGACACAGTTGTAGTTGTTTTGTTTTGTTTGAACAGCCAAAAACTAGCAATGGTATTTATTTTTTCAAAGAGAATAGAGAAGGGAAACCAAACATATCATAAACACTTATTTTCAAAAGCATGTTATAAACCATCTTGCAGAAACAAGGTCATGTTAAGTAGAATATCCCAGACCACATACACCAGAAGCAGTTCCACAGAACAGTAGGGCCTCTCACCTTAAAAGTTGTGGTGCCATAGAGCTTGGTAGTGTGAACTGTCTCTGGAAGCACATTAGTGATGTTGGTGATAAACTCTTCTAAGTACTTACAGGATTTCTCCAAATGTGTTGTGTTGATAATAATCTGGACAAGCTAGAAAACAACAAGCACATGTAAAAGTCATTTGACTATTCACCCCAGAATGAATGGCTCAATATTAATCCGCTGGTACAAGACAAATGAAATGCATGATGGCAAAGGTGATCCATATTCTGGCAAAGCACATGTTAAAGCATGGGCATTCATTTTACCTCTTCTAGGAAGCCTTTGATATGGTCAGGTTTTGTGTCCCCACCTAAATCTCATCTTTAATTGTAATCTCCATAATCCCCATAATCCCATGCATGTATCAAGGGACAGACCAGGTGGAGGTAACTGAATCACGGGGGCAGTTTCCCCCAAGCTGTTCTCATGATAGTGAGTGAGTTCTCATGAGATCTGGTGGTTTTATAAGGGGCTCCTCCCACTTTGCTCAGCACTTCCTCTTGCCACCTTGTGAAGAGGGTCCTTGCTTCCCCTTTGCCTTATGCCATGATTGTAAGTTTCCTGAGGCCTCCCAAGTCATGTTGAACTGCAAGTCAATTAAACCTCTTTCCTTATAAATTACCCAGTCTCTGGCAGTTCTTTATAGCAGTATGAAAACTGACTAATACAGAGAGATCCAAGATGGCCCATTAGGAGCAGCTCAGGATTGCAGCTCCCAGTGAAAGTGCAGAGGGTGAGTGGATGCCACATTTCCAGACGGATTTTTGTTGCCCATGGACCAGGAGATACCCAGGCGGAGAAGCCCACGGGTCGCAAGCGCAACTCTTTTGGCCTGCGCAGCTGTTTTGCCGGCGCCGTGGCCAGTGGTTATCAGCACAAAATACACAGGACTGGGTGCACCTTTGGCTGGTGATTGGAGCTCCAGGAAGGCAGAGTTGCCCATTCTGCTGATTAAAAAGGGGACTGAAACAGGAAGCCAGACTGGGAGATTCCCGGGCAAAAAAGTGCCATGAATCTCAGTGCAGCTGTGTCAGCCAATGCAGTGGGTTGCCGCATGGGAAATCACACAGATCCTGGCACCTTTTCAACAGGTGACTGGAACACCTGGGAAAGAGTCGACTGTTCAACTAAAAAAAAAAGCCTCTGAGACAGGGAGCCAGGTGAATGAGGCTCCACTGGTCCCACCCCCACAAAAAAATAGCAATTGAAAACGCTGTGGGTTGAGAGTTTCACAGCAAGCACAGCTGAACCCGGGAAGGTTCAACTATGTGGGGGAGGGGTGTCCACCATTACTGAGGCACTCCACCACTACAGAGGTAGGCTGCCACCTTGCTGGGCAGCCCAGCCCTTAAAAAAAAAAAAAAAGAAAAAGGCAGCAACACAACGGAAACTCATAAATAAAGCCCTAACTCCCCGGTACTGAGCACCTGGGGAAAAAAAAAAAGGGTTTATGAGTTCTGCTACAGCAGACTTAAACGTACCTGCCCAGCAGCTCTAAATGAACAACAGAGCTCACAGCTCAGCACCTGAGCACCTATAAAGGACAGACTGTCTCCTCAAGGAGCTCCCTGGCCCCCATAAACCCAAAGAATCACCTCATAAAGCAGAGCTCAAACTGACATTTGGCGGGTATCCTTCTGGGACAAAGACAGCAGAAGAAGAAACCGGTAGCAACCCTTACAGTTCTGCAGCCGCTGCAGGTGACCCCCAGGCAAGCAGGGCCTGGAGTGGACCTCAGCAGTCCTACAGCAGACAGGCCAGACTGTTAGAAGGAAAACTAAGAAACAGAAATAACTTTATCGTCAACAAACTGGACATCAACTCAGAGACCCAATCTGAAAGTCAGCAACTACAAATATGACAGGTGGATAAATCCACAAAGATGGGAAGAAACCAGAGCAAAAAGGCTGATAACACCCGAAACCAGAATGCCTCTCCTCCCACAAGGGATCAGAACTCCTCACCAGCAAGGGAACAAGGCCTGATGGAGAATGAGTGTGATGAACTGACAGAATCAGGCTTCAGAAGGTGGATAATAAGAAACTTCTGTGAGCTAAAAGAACACGTTATAACCCAACGCAAAGAAACTAAGAACCTTGAAAAAAGATTTGATGAAATACTAACAAGAATAGACAATTTAGAGAGGAATATAAGTGAACCGATGGAGCTGAAAAACGCAACACGAGAACTTCACGAAGTATGCACACGTTTTAACAGTTGAATTCATGAAGCAGAAGAAAGGATATCGAAGGTCGAAGATAATGAAACAAAACAAGAAGGCAAGATTAGAGAAAGAAGGGTAAAAAGGAATGAACAAAGTCTCCAAGAAATATGGGACTATGTGAAAAGACCTAATCTACGTTTGATAGGTGTACCTGAATGTGACGAAGAAAATGAATCCAAGCTGGAAAATACTCTTCAGGACATTATCCAGGAGAACTTTCCCAACCTAGCAAGGCAGGCCAATATTCAAGTCCAGGTAATACAGAGAATACCACAAAGATATTCCTCAACAAGAGCAACCCCAAGGCACATAATTGTCAGATTCACCAGGGTTGAAATGAAGGAGAAAATGCTAGGGGCAGCCAGAGAGAAAGGTCAGGTTACCCACAAAGGGAAGCCCATCAGACTCACAGCAGATCTCTCCACAGAAACCCTATAGGCCAGAAGAGAATGGGTGCCAATATTCAACATCCTTAAAGAAAACAACTTTCAATCCGGAATTTCATATCCAGCCAAACTAAGTTTCATAAGTGAAGGAAAAATAAAATTCTTTGTGAACAAGTAAGTACTCAGAGATTTCATCACCGCTAGGCCTGCTTTATAAGAGCTCCTGAAAGAAGCACTACCCATATAAAGGAACAACCAGTATCAGCCACTCCAAAAACATATCAAATAGTAAAGAGCATCAACACAATCAAGAATCTGCATCAACTAACCGGCAAAACAGCCAGCTAGCATTAAACAGCAATATCAAATTCACACATATTAATATTAACCCTAAATGTAAGTGGAGTAAATGCCCCAATCAAAAGACACAGACTGGCAAATTGGATAAAAAGCCAAAACCCATCGATGTGCTGTATCCAGGAAACCCAATCTCACATGCAAGGATACACAAAGGCTCAAAATAAAGGGATGGAAGAACATTTACTAATCAAATGGAGAGCAAAAAAAAAAGCAGGAGTTGTAATTTTTGTCTCTGATAAAATAGACTTTAAAGCAAAAAGGATCAAAAGAGACAAAGAAGGACATTATATAATGGTAAAAGGATCAATGCAACAAGAAGAGCTAACGATCCTAAATATACACGTGCCCAATACAGGAGCACCCAGATACATAAGGCAAGTTCTTAATGACCTACAAAGAGACTTAGACTCCCATACAATAATAGTGGGGGACTTTAACACCCCATTGTCAATATTAGACAGATCAATGAGACAGAAAATTAACAAGGATATCTAGGACTTGACTCAGACCTGGAACAAGCAAACCTAATAGGCATTTATAGAACTCTCCACCCCAAATCCACAGAAAATACATTCTTCTCAGCACCACATCACACCTACTCTATAAGTGACCACATAATTGGGAGTAAATCACTCCTCAGCAAATGCATAGCATTTCACAGGTTTAAGTGAAATATTGGTTGAGGTCAAGCACAATTATTGGCCTAAAAGAGGTTTTTAATACCCATTTTTAGGCTGCACTCCAGCTTAGGCAATGCAGCAAGACTCCCGATCTCTCTTCCTCTTTCTTTTCCTCTCTCTCTTTCTCTCTTTCTTTCTTTCCTTCCTTCCTCAAAAAAAAAAATGGACTAATTCAGCATTCCAAAATATTTTATATTCACCCCTATTATGGGAACACTTACCACTCTATTTTAAAGGTATGTTTTCTTCTGTTTAAAAAAGATTAGGCTAAGGACAAAAATTGCTACTGTTTAGCATGGTGCCTGCCAGTTAAAACATTGCCAAATGAACTAAATAAATAGTCACTAAATGAACAGGAATAATTAAAATGGCAACAAGATGTTTCAAAATTATGCATGATGAACAGAAAGATGTTAGGAGAGATTACAATATGTTAATATACTCCATCAGTTTGTGGAAGAAAAAACATGGGCATCAAAATGAAAGTAACCACGAAATTAACCACTTACTTTATTATTATTACTTATTTGATCACGGGAAAGTTTCTTAACTTTTATAACCTTATCTCCTTATCTGTAAAATGTCAACAATAATGTCTACTTTACAGAGTTATTGTGAGGATTAAATACTCTGTTGTTAACGCTATTTATCTTTTCTTACATAGAACAGATTGTTAAAAAAAAAAAAAAGGTTGTCTTTACAAATTACTTGAAGAGAAAATGAAAAAGAAAAACTAGTATTGACTGTATAGAATTAAGGATTCTGAAGAACTTCATGATTCATTTTCCTACATTGTTTTCCCATAAACTTGGAAAAGTAGTTAAATGGACATAATTATAACTTCCATTTTATTATAACAGAAATGAAAATCAAGTGATTTTCTTTAGATCACATTGCCTAAATGGAACTAATACTATGTCCCATACCTTCCAATTATGTACTCATCTAAATGACTTCTGCCAGTGCCTTTTAGCATAAGCATAATATGGTAGCCCTGACGTGCTGCATGATTGTGTACATTAGACTAAAATATAAGATTCTGGGTCTGCAATCAACTAGACCGCTCCATGTTCTGATTCTACTCTAGTAAAAAGAAGAGGGAAAAAAAGTGGTATCTATTACTTATCGCTTAACTATTAAACTATTAAAACTATTCACATTCCCTAGAGTCTAAAGGAAATACAAACAGGAAATAGAATGGAACTCTTTTTTTTGTCTCTCTTTACTAAATCTTTACTTGGCATTTTTACAAGAATATGTCTGATGGTGAGTTTGTGGCAGGTAGAGGGAGTTTTGCTGTTTAAGGCAATGAATTAATCTAGGTCTTTTGGTCTAGTGAGAAAGTGAGCCAGAGGGATGTGGGGTGGCAAATGACACAAAGCAGAAACTGGAACTAATGATGAAGTTTATAATACATGACATTTCAAAACAATTTTTAAAAGTTGGAATTTTATTTTAGTAAGAATTATGTTATGCTCTGGAATATTAAACAAAAATACAGATAGGACTGTAATCAGAAAATACATTCTTACTTCTTCCACATCATCCAGCACAGGATGAAAGAACATACTTCATTCTGAAAAAGTACATGTCCACTCATAATGACAATGTTCTAGTATTGGTTTCAACTAAGAAAAAGAATACCCTTCTACTCCACTAAGGATCATGCTGACAATCTTAGGAAAATAACTATGTTGAAACACAATAACAAAGGGCAAAAACACAGAGATACAATTCCAACAAATTCTCTTAGATGAAAAGTTAGGGCCACACTGGGTCTAGATCTCTGTATTTTCCTTCACAACTTGTCAGACAAGTTCATATACATCAGCTCCCTTTTCCATTCATTCCACAGTTTGAATTCAAGATTTTCAGTTTTGAACACAAGACTACTATATCCTATAAAACTACCAAAAACATAACCTTTTAACTTTGGAGTGCTCTAGAAAAAGATAACCATCAAAATAAGCAATTCATCACTCTCTTGCTCTCATCATTTTCTCCTTCAAAGGAGAACTAAAATCATTTAAAAACATTTAAATTGTCTGAATTAAATCATTCTTCTTCCTGAGTGGGAAGGTGGCTACTGGCAATGTTGTCTTGATGTGGAAGTCAGAAAATTAAGAGAGTTAATTTGGAGAACTGAAAAATTTCTATTTTAAAATCAGTATTACCTATGGAAACACATTCTGTCTATCAAAAGAAATCCTAATAATAAGGAGGAATCATGTCATGTTATTGAAATAAAAAACAGTGGCAGTCAAAGAGAAAATTGTCCTGTTTTACAGGATATTGGCAGTTACATTTAAAAAAGGGAGGTGGCTTCACTGGGTACAGTAGTAATTTCCTATGATTTTTAAAGATCTGTCAACACAAAAGATCACCATGAATTACATCAATTGGTTGTCAGTCATTTTTTGAAATGTTTCATTGCTGAGCATAGAATAGACTATTAAGACACTGTAGGATTACAGCAGATACCATGTCATTTTCAGAGAGAATATTTGTCTGTTAATAGCTCTAAGTGATAACTACTCCTGAATGACAGCTACCAAAATCCTTCCAAGGGCATTTACTAATGTAAAACCAGAAGCTTTGGGCATAATTTCAAATCGAAAGATAAAATAAAGCAATTTCAGATAAATTTCATCAGAGTTTGAGTGCCCTTGATGATATTTTTACCAACCACTTCCCAGTATCTTACAATCTATAACACTGCAGTAATCCAAACTGTCCTAAACATTATTTCAATGACACAAATCTAACAACAGATCAAATATTGATTATCTCTTACATAAAGTTCTATGAGAATTGTCAAAAAAAGAACATTATAAATCAAACAACCATCTCTCACAACTAAATGACACAAGTCACTTAAATGAAAAACCATTAAGAATCAGAAAATTTTTCTGTCTCTCCTTCCTTGTGTCAGAGAAAATCCAATGAGAAAGGCACAAAGCACACTGTGGAGGTCATTTCTTTTCTTTTTTTAATTTTATGTTAAGTTCTGGGATACATGTGCAGAACGTGCAGGTTTATTACATAGGTATGTGGGCCATAGTGGTTTGCTGCACCTACTGACCCATCTTCTAAGTTCCCTCCCCTCGCCCCCATCCCCTAACCCCCAACAGGGCCCAAGAAGCCCTGGTGTGTGTTGTTCCCCTCCCTGTGTCCATATGTTCTCATTGTTTAACTCCCACTTATGGAGTGTGAACATGCAGTGTTTGGTTTTCTGTTCCTGTGTTACTTTGCTGAGGATGATAGCTTCCAGTTTCATCCATGTCTCTGCAAAGGACATAATCTCACCCCTTTTTACGGCTGCATAGTATTCCATGGTGTATATGTACTACATTTTCTTTAGTCTATCATTGAAGTACATTTGGGTTGGTTCCATGACTTTGCAATTGTAAACAGTGCTGCAATAAACATATGTGTGCATGTGTCTTTAGAGTATAATGATGTATATTCCTTTGGGTTTGTACCCAGTAATGGGTTGCTGGGTCAAATGGTATTTCTGGTTCTAGATCCTTAAGGAATAGACATACTATCTTCCACAATGGTTTAACTAATATACATTCCCAGCAACAGTGTAAAAGCATTCCTATTTCTCGTGGAGGTTATTTCTCCTCCAAGCCTGCTCAAAAACACCCCAATGGAACCTGAACCATGATGACATTCTTTTTTTTTGTTTGTTTGTTTTGTTTTGTTTTGTTTTTTGAGACGGAGTTTCGCTCTTGTTACCCAGGCTGGAGTGCAATGGCGCGATCTCGGCTCACCGCAACCTCCGCCTCCTGGGTTCAGGCAATTCTCCTGCCTCAGCCTCCTGAGTAGCTGGGATTACAGGCACGCGCCACCATGCCCAGCTAATTTTTTGTAGTTTTAGTAGAGACGGGGTTTCACCGTGTGCCAGGATGGTCTCAATCTCTTGACCTCGTGATCCACCCGCCTCGGCCTCCCAAAGTGCTGGGATTACAACCATCATGACATTCTATTCTTGACAAACCCCAGAAAATATCTTCATCATCTTCCATAGTTCAAAACTAAGCCCTAAATTCCAAGAAGAGGTTTCCATTCCCAACTATAAATTATTTCTGGAGCATACACATCTGCTATTAAAACTGCTTTTTAGCATGTTTTCCAAAACAATCAATTCAGTACAATAAAGCTTCAACAGGACTAATCCAAAGCAAGAAAATGAGAAGTCACACTCCTCTTCACACCACCAATGCCTCTCAACTGTTAAATTTGCAAAACTAAGAACTAAATAGTATTGGTTCTCATTCACAAAAATGAGCTATCACTGAGACTTCAAGGGATTTGATCTCCATTTCACCTAGTCAGGGTACAAAAAATTGTGTCAACCACTCATTTTATACCATCTCCATGATTAAAATACCTAAAACACTACAATTTATGAAACTACTGCTTACGAATTCCAAGATATAGTGCAAAGTTTATATTTGACAAGAGTTAAGTGCAAAACATTTTAACAATGTGAGCAATATCACTTCTGTTAACAAGAGAAAGAAGAGATAAATGTATTGTGGAAAATGAGAGGATAGAATCCTGTGGTCAGTAATCTAAATTATACTAAAAGCAAAGAATGAATACAAAGCATTGGTCATTTCTTCAGGTCTCTATTACCATATTAGGTATGAGTAGTGCACTACATCACAGCAGTGCTCTGTGATCATAAAATTACAAATACTGAATAGGATATCACTAGAAGGAACTCTGAACTTCTTTCTCCATATTATAAATAATTAAACATAAATACTACTGTAAATAATGAAGTAGCAGATAAAAATAAACCCAATTCTTTAGAACTAGTATTGATATGAACTAATAATATTACAGCTTCCAGCTTAACATGGTTTAAGAAAATATACTATCATGCCTGGGCGCGGTGGCTCACGCTTGTAATCCCAGCACTTTGGGAGGCCGAGGCAGGTGGATCACCTGAAGTCAGGAGTGTGAGACTAGCCTGGCCAAATGATGTTTCACTATCATCATTTCTACTAAAAGTACAAAAATTAGTTGGTTGTGGTGGCACACGCCTGTAATCCCATCTACCTGGGAGGTTGAATTAGGAGAATCTCTTGAACCCAGGAAGTGGAGGTTACATTGAGTCGA